CTGGAGACAGAGCCGCTGGGCACGGCCGGCCCGCTGGCCCTGGCCAGGGACATCCTGGCTTCCAACGACGAGCCGTTCTTCGTGCTCAACTCGGACATCATCTGCAACTTTCCGTTCAGGGATATGGTCAGCTTCCACCGCAACCACGGCAAGGAGGGCACCATTGTGGTGAGTGTGGCGCTGGTGAAGAGCGCTGGTGCAGCGTCGGTGTAGGCCACTGATGGAGGATCATGCTGTTGCGTCATTTATTGATTAAAGTCTTTGAAGTGTCGTTGTATAAGGTTTGTCTTCGATTTGAAAACCGAATGCCACGCATGTTTGGTTACATTTGATTACGGTTATGGCCTAGTTGCTGTTTTCTGTTTTGCTTAGACCGCGAGTAGATATAGACGCATCGAGAAATCTAAACGTATTGCAAATTTGTCCTTGCATGCCACTCAACCCAACCCAACCTTTGCGTTTGCTGACCCGTGCCCTCACTCTGCCACCACAGGTGACCAAGGTCGAGGAGCCCTCTAAATACGGTGTTGTCTGCTACGACGAGAGAGGCCGCATTGAGCGGTTCGTCGAGAAGCCGCAGGAGTTTGTTTCCAACAAAATTAACGCCGGACTGTACATCTTCAACACATCGATCCTGGACAGAATTCAGGTGAGTTGTGACAGGCAGGGAAAGCAGAAGCTGTTCGTCAATGACGACATAATGCACCGATCAGTAGCCGATCAGTCTCTTATACGCCAGCGTTGTTTATTTACGGGTGCTTCTCGTGAAAACAATGCTTCGTCGCCATGTGATATTAATAGAAGATATGACTTATTTGTATATCTTCCTCTGCAGCTGCTTGCAAGCTATCTGCCTTTAGCTCCCACCCATGACCCACCACTCTGTGTCTATGTTAACCTAACCTGTACCGTTTCCCGCCTCGCGTCCAGCTGCGTCCGACCAGCATCGAGAAGGAGATCTTCCCCGTGATGGCCGAGGACGGTAATCTGTTCAGCTTCGAGCTGCAGGGCTTCTGGATGGACGTCGGACAGCCCAAGGACTTCCTCACCGGCATGTGCATGTACCTGACGTCGCTCAAGACCAAGGATCCGTCGCTGCTGTACAAGGGGGACGGCGTGGCCAGCGGGGTGATGGTGGTGAGTGCCGAGCGGGGGACCGAGCGGTTCAGGGTGTGGATGAGAAAAGAGGATTTGGGCTGGGCTGTGTATGGAGCAGTATTGTATTTTTATTAACCTCCCCCTGGCAACTAGCAGGGTTTATACTGTATATCGAGTGTACCACGAAGTTACACGTGCCACGATCGTCGCAGTTAACGTCTTTCCACAGTTAATATAGAAAAAAACGTAATCTAACTTGATCTAACCTTACATACAACCTACAACCTACAATTTCTGCTGTGGCATATATGATTTGTGGAGTATATGAATGCTCCCCCCCCCTGACCGTTCTGACCTCTGGTCCTCGCTCCAGGACCCTACGGCGCGGATAGGCAAGAACTGCAAGATCGGCCCGAACGTCACCATCGGGCCGGACGTCATTATCGAGGACGGTGTGCGCATCAAGCGCGCCACCGTGATGCGAGGAGCCCACATCAAATCGCACTCGTGGATCGAGAACTCGATCGTCGGCTGGCGCTGCGTCGTAGGACGATGGGTGAGAGTTGGCGAGATGGTGGGAATTGTAGGCGTGGTGGGAGACCGCGATATAGCAAAGGGGCGTTTAACATCTGCAGTTTCGGAAGCGTCCATCCAAAATTCCAACAACGCGGCATGTCATTGACCTCTATCAGCACCAAAATAGGCCACTACAAAGCCCTCAGCGAGCTCAATGCAAGATAACTTTACTAATAATTTAGACCTACAAGAAAGGAAAAAAGGACCTGTCGCATGAATCTTCAATCCAGAATGTTATAGCTATTCGACTGCAAACGACTTACAAACCTTGATATGTTGCAACTGGAGACTGTTGAACTATTTGTCCCAGTTGTACCTTACCAACCGTTCCCGTACGCCCCTCCCCGATCTCGTCCCCGGTTTCTGACCCCTCCCAAGGCTATAGAACTCCAGGTAAGGACACCAGCCGTTTGACCTTGAACGCCGCCGGCCGGCCGATGACGTCATTGGAGGCAAGCCGGCTCGGCGGACACATCGGGCGAATGCATAAAGGAGGGGCGTTGGAACGTTGCGGGAGCCGGAGAGATCTTCTAATGTGGTTGCATACCACCATTGTTATGCTGATTGATCTACAGACTGCAGTCTTATAAACCTCGATGCATCCTAGGCCTGGATGGTGCGTACATTCGTAGAACGATCACTCCGTCCGACGTCCATGGTCGAAGCTGTATGTATCTAAAGACACTAAGACGAGTGCAATAACGGCGACCCGATCCCGTCTCTGGCGAATCCAGAGGGGTCGTAACTCGTAAGGACCCAGGCCGAATCTGACCGTCTATTTTTAGGGAAACGGGGTGGGTGAATCGACAACCGATGGTTTAAGAGATGATTCGAGAAAGGATCCCATCGTCGATTGTTGTTTGACAGACAACGCATGTTGTACTGAGCGTTTAACCATCAGAGGTAATGCCTGATTACGTAGGCAAGCATAATTGGTCTGTCATATTGCTTAGGAATATAAAACCGTAATGGAAATCATTGAGGATATGATCTCTACATTACGGGAATTCACTAATTATTACGGCTCATAGGGGCACCGCCGGAGCTGCTGTTTTACCATCGGTCCCAGGCAACTCCAGGGAGCTGCAGTACCCGGCGGCCAAAGCGGCCACCTCGTCGACTCGCAGGTCCTGTGGGATTCCGTGATGCTTCAGTGCTTCACCCACAGAAGCACGGGTCACAGCAGTAGGATGTGGGGTCAGGAGTCTGTCCGCCTTTTCATTGTAGGTACGTAGGTACGTACAACGTATGCGGCGCCTGGTCCCGCCGAAGCTCGGTATCGACCGTGACTTCATTCAGACTTATTCACAACTGGCGGATAAGGAAGCGGTCTTGGACACTGCGGGGGCTAACCTCAAAAAGTTTTTTTTTTCCGAATTAATTTAAAAAAAGAAGCTCGGATTTCGATTTCTTGCGCACTGCTGTGCAGTGTGATTAACCAACATTTCCTCAGAATAGTTGTGAAGTTTTCTTTTATTCTCGAAAAGCGATTTCGGGCGCTGCCCCGATTGTGGGGGAAGACATTTGCCCCAAATGCCTTCCCCTGGATCCGCCAGTGGGTTGCCCGACCCCGAGCTTGACTAAAAACGTCTTCAAACACCACCAGAAACCGATGGTAAGGTGAATTTAAATCCAATAACTGATCTCTGTCTGCCCGCCTAAATATACTACACATGGTACGGCACCCGGCCCTGTCGGAGCTATGATCCGATCGTGACATTTTCGGCTTTCCCCATCCCAAGCTCGATTAGAAACGTTCTCCCTCCCCACCCGATTGCTGATGTCAATTCAAATTCAATACCTTATCTCTGTCCGCCCGCCCATAACCCATTCATTGCACACCGTTCAGCGCCCGGCCCCGCCAGAAGTATCCTAGCGCGCTGAGCAGTTGCCTCCAGCCGCGTCATCGCGAGGCCCCGCGCGGCCCATAACTGAATACATTGCGCGAATAGCCGTGTCGCCCCCCTGACCCCTCCTCTCCCGCAGGTTCGCATGGAGAACGTCACCGTACTCGGCGAGGACGTCATCGTCCAGGACGAGATCTACGTCAACGGCGGCATCGTGCTGCCGCACAAGTCGATAGCCGCCTCCGTCTCCGAGCCCCGCATCATCATGTAGTAGCGTGGTGGGAGAGGTCTGACGTCACTGGAGGACAGGTTTTGACGTCATTGGAGGACGGCTGCTAATGATCAGCTGTGTTTGACGTGATTCCGTGGCGGCGCCATTGGGTTTTACTTGCTCCAGGGCTGGCGTCTGGTGTGACGCCGTCGGTGGGGGTGGGTCGGGTCTGCCGCTGTAACTGGCGATCTGTCGTTGCGATGACGTCTCTGCGGCTGGTCCGATTCGGCGCCTCCCCGGCGGCCCAGGGGAGGTATATAATGTCCGCTGTCGCTGGGTCGGGGGGTGGTGTGGGGGCCAGTGGGGGACACTGGACCGTGCCTTTCCGGAGGTTGTGTACAAATTCAGGCGGTGCGGTGTACTGCCGTTTGTGGCGTCTGTGGCGCGCCTGGTCCACGTGTGACGTATGTGACGCACAGCGTTTCTGCGCCGTTTGGGTTCGGGTATCGGGCTGACGGGACCTCTCCTCTGAATTTTGTCGAAGTCACGATCGGTCCTCACACGTCGCGGTTTGCGGTGCGGGTGTAACGCGCACAGCACGACCGTTCCTGGGTACTCTGGTGTCTACCGGCGAACTTGACGGTTAAATCATGCGGAACTATTTAAATTTGGTGTGCGGCTTGAATGACGTGGACATTTCCTCACGGCATCAGCTCTTGACCCTCCCATGATGGGATGATTTGTAACCGGAGAATGACTGAGCTACCGAGATTGTGCATGGTTACACATTTTCCATCTGTCCTTTTGATTTTCAATGGTATTCGTTATCATGAGTGGGGTATGATTGATATATAAAGCATAATACTTTGTTCAGTTTTCCGAACTGTTGCTTGATGTTTATTTTACACGGCGTTGTATTTTGTATAGTATATTTTATTTTGTCAAGTTTCATTGCTGTGTGATGAATTATGCATGGATGCAAATTAATGGCCAAGTAGATTGTTGTAGATTTGATAAATTTTCCATCGCATTGTCTGATATGCCATTGGTGTACTGGCACAATGTATATGATGTGGTGATTATTTGATCGTCGTGCGATTGAATATACCGCGTGATGGGTTACCAACAGCGGCGTGTGTTTACTCTGACTTGTCCGAGTACCGAGTGGCTAGTGTTAAAGGGGTGAGGTGGACCTGAGAAGGCAACGGTGTGCTCAATCCGACACTGGCCCATTTTAGTCCGTCAATCGGCGCAGAGTGTGCAAACGATGCTTGGACCACTTGAACTGCATTTGGCAACAAATAACGCATTGCAGTCGGTCTTATTAGGCATTAGCTCTTATCACTCTAAAATCGCCAACCTTACACTTAGGCAAGCCACTATGTCATTAAAAACGACCTTGCCTGAACTCCCGACACATCGTCTCACCTCTCATTGCACACCTCACATACATCATGAGCCGTGAATCGCTCATCTCAGGTCACCGCCCTCCCCTCCGGTCCGGCCCCCGGCCCCCACGAGCTCCCCAGCCGCCATCCGGCGCTGTCGCTCCAGCTCGATGTACTCCGGCAGATCGTCCATCGGTCGGTACACCAAGTGAACGCACTGAGCGCCGACGAACATTGTCAGCATGGCTGCGGAGACGAACCGCAGGTAGGGGCCCCAGGGGACGCCGGCCGGCATCGTGACGCGATGGGCGAGACTAGACTCGGCCGGAGTCTGACTTAGCTAGACTTTCAAAAAGGCGAGCCGCAATTGTTTCTTCTGGACGCGGGACAGGTCAGACTCAGACTAGACACGGTTCAAGTTGAGCTCGACTCAACTGTCTCGCTGTATCGCGGTCTGCTGTGCCTGGCTGACGGTTGGAGCACTGATGTGGCTAGATATGGCGAGTTTTAGCCGATTCAGCTCACCCGCCTCAGTCCCCGGTTCGGTCGAGCGTCCTCTGCGCCTCGCGTCGTTTGTACGTTTTGTCTGCGGAGCGGCAGAGTCCAGGCTTCAGTCGGTGGGTGAGCCACGGGTACGGTAGGGTTGGCGGCAATACACTGACTTGCACTCTAAGTTGAAATTAGTTGGTTAATGAGCGCATTTGCATTAAAAAAAACTCAGACCAAAAGATCAGTTGCAAAAAGTAAATATATTTGAGCATCGTGATGATTCTTGATAATGGATGACGGGTGATATGAAAATAGTATTATTTATCACTAAGTAATTTAAGGAAATGCAATGACACTTGACAGCCACATATTTACAGTGCTTGCTGACGCGTGCATATATGAGAACATTCAACACAGCCAATGTTTTAGGAAGGCAGCTACTTAGAAGCACCGTGAAGACGCAACACTTCCCATACAGCCGTAACTCCGCCATAGACGATAAAAACCACCCAACTCCCCCAGTTCAGTAGAACACCGCCATGATAGACTCAATTAGAGTCAGTCACTGGCGTCACTTGCCGTCAGAAAGAACAATTCTGACTGACTGGCTCTCCTGCTATTAGTACATATGGTCTTCTCCCACTCTCGAGACGGAGTCTTATGCGCCAGCATTGATTCAACGAAGGGTGTCTATGGGCTGTGGTTTTCACTAACTCGGTTGATGGCATTGCTCTCTTGAACTGCCGCATGCCCTACACAGGGTGCTGATGTCGCGGCTTCAACCCGTATCGACTCCACTAACAAGCAGCTGCGCGGCGGCGGCTCGCGCGAGCCCGCAGTGACCTTCGCCGTGTGTCACAGTCCGGCCCGCCAGGCGGGCACTGCTCTGCGTGGGAGAGCCGCCAGGCCAACGGTGACCGGGCCGGCCGCGGCCGTCTCCCCGTTCGGCTGCCACCGGCGCCGGCGCAGGCTGGAGCTGGTGTCTGCCAGCAGTCGGGCAGGACACCGCGGCCGGGTGGTCGCCGGCGCGCTGCGGGGCCGCGCCACCGCCGCCGCCGCCGCCGAGCGCTGCTGGCGGGCGGCGCTGCGGCGCTCCGTCAGTAGCGCGTCACGCTGACGGAAGACGGGCAGGGCGTTGGCGGCCAGCTGGGCGCGCAGCTGCCGCTGCCGCTGCTGCTCCATCTGCTGCTGGCGCGCGTGCAGCTGCTGCTGCTGCGCGCGGCGGCGGCGCAGCTCGGCGGCCGCCGCCCGCTGCGCCGCCAGCTCGCGCTCCTTTCTCTGAGACACCACCAGCGGCAGCGGAGGGGGCGGGGGAGCCACCGGCGCCGGAGGCCGGGTATGTCTCGCTGGCCGGGAGCGGGGCCGGGGCCGGCGGCGGGGTCGTTTGACGGAGCCGCCGCCGGGGGCTCCGTCTCCGTCTGTGGGCCCTGCTGACACGGCAGCCGCCGTCTGCGCGGTCCTGGACGCCCTCCACTCGGCAATGGCCTGCCGGCGCCGCTCGGCCAGCTCTTGGAGACGCTCGTACCACTGCACGTGCTGCACCACCTCCGACATACACTTGTTGGTCATCTTGTGAGCAATGGCACGACACTGTCGAGCGACCGAGCGGTGTCGCGTGCGCAGCTTCAGGAACAGTGCGTGGTCGTCTGCGTCCCACCCGCCGGTCGGACCACCGTGCTGTGCCAGGTACGCATCATACGCGGCCACCGCCTCGTTCTGAGCGGTCAGCGCCGGCGGCGGCGGGCTGGGCGCGTGTACGGCAGGTGCGCTGGCCGGCCGCCGCTGACTCTCCAGTTTCCAGCGGCGCATGCGCTCGCAGAGTCCGTCCAGCACTCCTTCCAGCGCCGTCTGCTCCTGGTCGAGCTCTTTGCGCCGCTGGGCGCAGCGTTCGGACACGCTGACCGCCTGCTGTCGGACGCTCTCGGCCAGCCGCTCAATGACGGGTAGGTCGGAGCGCTGCAGCGGCGGCTGGCACAGCTCGCGCAGTCGGATCACCCGCTGGCGCACACGGTTCACCTGTCCGACCAGCTGGCGGCAGCCGTCGCCGGCCGGCGGCTGAGACGCAGAGGCAGGGCGCAACTGCTGACGGAGCTCCTGCTGAGCGTCCTCGGACAGCCAGCGCTGCCAGGCCAGCTCCGCCGCTCTCAGCTGGTTCCGCAGCCGAGTCGAATTCTCCACAAACGACTCCACAGTTAACGGCGCCATCGGGATTCTACGGCGACGCAATTCAATCAGTTACATATCCCCGTTCTGTGTAAGGACTTTCTAATCGCCAGTCCCGAGACACACTGTTTAAGACACCATCACGGCAAACCTTGCCATAACTTACAAAAGTTGATCTCTCCGGCGACTCCGGCGTGCCAGTTGATCATGGAAAACTCGAGAGCCGCTCCCAGAACGAAGAAAAATGGAAGAAACCGGTAGATGCCGAACGTCCGCTTCCCTGGCCACGCTTCCAGAAAGCGGCGGAAGGCTTTGCTTTGAAACATAGGCCTGCGTAATCTGTAACAAGGAGATCCTTTGTTACCATGGTAGACAATATAGGCGTGAGTCCCAGTATCCACTTCCATTTACCTCTGTAATGAATATTGAGCAGCTTTAGTTAAGTATCTGTAATTTCAAAACTTAAAACCTTTTCATAATTTAACTTTATGGCTGCAGCCTATATTTATATTCAGTTTATACACACTTTGCCTATGAATATGTCCATGAAGTTTATCAGTCTAATTTTGCTTGAAAATATTTCAGCTAGCTCACACTTCTTGAATGAAAATCTTTTTAAAAAATCCGAAAAGGAGGAATGCATGTCAACAAATGCTCACATTGCAAAGGTCATTGAACCCACCACACAGTAGCAGGATTTAATTGATTAACAATTGGCTGGATTAACAATTGATGCACCTCAAGGTGAATGATTTCATTGCTGAATAAATAAGGACACATGACCACAAAAATTTCAATATTTTGGCTGGAAATACAGGTATGAGGTAATAATACACAAAATGAGCAAACCAGATAGATGAATCTGTAGAAAACACAAAACATGAGCAATAGGTATGTTTACAGGTACCTACTATTTGGCCATAATCCAACAAAGGTATTTTTTACTACAACCTTTGGTCTCTGGCAAATTATTAAACCCAGCTATTCTGATCAATGGTAGACACTGAAATTCATAATTACTTAGTTAAATTGTTATTTGTTACACAAGCTCTACACTAATGACGAAATTGTACAACAATCGGTTTAAAGTCAGCACACTCTATATATAAGAACTCATAATTGAGAGAGCACGCTCTAAAGTCTGATTCTGAGGTCTCGCACAAAAATATGCCCATAGCAAAAGCATGGAGGACACAAAAACCAAGCTACTTGGCTATACTCAGGGTAAAGATGGGTAGGTACTTAAAAATACTACCCAAGGTAGGTAAAATGAAAATACTGGCCCTGACATGATTTATGATGTTCTCCGAGCTATCATACATGCATATAGTTAGGGCTGTATGATGTAACATGGAATAGGTACCTAGATACATTTCCACGGAACAAGTTTATCTGATTTAGCAAAACAATTATCTTGAGCATATCATTTAGACGTCCTTTAAAACTGTAAATGTGGGAGTAAGTGGTAGCTAAGGCCATAAATATGCTATTTTTGCCTAAGAGGAATAGTAGGTATCCAATGAAAATACAGGTGAAATTTTAAATTGGTTTAAGCATGTCAATTGTCATGCAACCATAGTGATTAAAACACCAAAATCAACAATATGTACATACAAAACTGATAAGGATGGCTTTTATATCTTTTATTTTCTGAGAAATAATGGAATAATCTAAAAAGAAATTTAAAAGTTTGACTTTTTCAGTAAAACCTCACCAAAAATCAGCAAAACCACTGTCAGGATACCTACCATATCAATATTAGGTAGGTACCTACTCAATTGCTGTGCTAGGTACTGACAAATCTTTGAAAAAAGCACTTACCTCGTTTGCTGGTACTCCAAAAAGGGTTTAGTTTAGCCGTATACCCGTAATATTGATATAAAAAGTTCAGCCCACAACAGCGACCATTGCTTTGACCATTGATTATATAAAAAGACGTCCGGTAATAAATTACTAAAGGTTAGAAATGCGTTCAATAATTGATAAAGGCAGCTGTCATTTGACTAGGCCCAATAGGCCGTAAGATTTTGGAATGAGCAGCTGCTTTCGCTAGCACAATCGGTAGCTCTGAACATTCTGCTGTATTAGGCCTGTCACAGCTGCGTCATTTTCAGGAAAAAGTATGATAGATGGCGCTTTTATAGGTGGCGCCCGAGGCGCCGTTTGAGACCTTTTTGTGATAACTCTAGTAAGCCAGGTAGCTAAATGGCAAGATTACTTTACTAATAGCTAAATGTAGTGTTTTTATTTACTTAACTTGGGTTTTGTTTGATAACATCTGAATGATTGCGCTCCAGCCTCAGGTGCTGACCCTGACGACCAACAAAGATTTCCCAAATTTCCTAGTCCGTAATGCGTTCCGTTTTTCACTCTGAGCTCTCGCATTCTCCACAGCGGTCTCATAAGCATACACCGTCATCTGACCGTGCCCGCCGCTGCCGGTGAAAGCGTCCCGGCTCGCCACCGTTCCGCCCCGCCTCGACCACCGATGTCCAGCTGACCGTCATGCTAACCGGTGAGAGCGTCCCACTGCCGACCGCTGCGGCTGCACTCACGGTACGTCAGTGCATCCGGCGCGTGCAACGAAACAGGACGGTGAGCCGTCCGCCAGACTGGAAGGTACAGCCGTGAGCCGATCGACACCTGACGGGAACGACTAACGGCGGGCTGGCTCGTCGTGACCCGGGGCGTACCGGTCGCCGGACTCGGGTAAACTGCGGGGTTCTGCCGCCGTGAGGACCGAGGGGCGATGAGCCGGCGGTGGACGGCAGCACTGGCCGGGTGGCCGACCCTGGCCCTGACTTTGTGGGTGACGGTGGTCAGCGGTCAGGTCAAACTGTCGGGAAGGTGTCCCTACATCCCGGCACTACGACCGTTCGACACATACCGGGTAAGAGACGATCCGCCGCCAGCCACTGAGGCAGCGTAGCGTGAGTTTCCATCGTTATTAGGGACCTGTAATTGTAAATGACTTGTCAGACATACCTACTCACTAAACTATTGACTTGCACTAGTTAAGCCTATGCCTTCAGTAGCACCTCGTCACGATAAACACACTGTCAATGGTGTATTAAGCGATATACGAGTAAAGTGGGTGCGTCTCGTGACGTTATAGTGGGACTGTGGGCAAACGGTAAACGTTCAGCTACCACAGCTGATATCGTCACCTGTAAGACGAAATACATATATGCACACACAAAGGCCAAACATGCCCTGAGACTTGCGATTTCAGCAGTCGTTAGGCCGCTCAAGTTGGACCGCTCGCTCGCATGTATGTTACCTCCCCTCAGGAATAATTTCCCGTTCACCCCACAGTTTCTGGGCAAGTGGTTCGAGGCGGAGCGGTTTTTCGTCAGCTACGAGTCGCTGGCGGGTCGGTGCTGGGGGGAGCGATACGTCCTTTTGGGTGGCCGAGTCAGCACCCTACTGGAGTGGCGACTGGCGCTGTGAGTACAGTCAATGCGTGACTCTATAGTCTGTTCCATATCAAGCTTGCGGTCGGAGTTTCTTCGGCAGATCGCTCCTCCGCTCAAGACTTTGCGTCTTAAAATGTAAGAACTGTATATACAGAAATAACGCATTGCTTTCAGCAGGGCACTTCGGCTGCAAGCTTGAAACGGAACAGAGTATAGTTACTATACTAGTTAGTTGGGTAGGCGATAGACATTTTCATTTATTCGCTTGTCCGTGTCGTAACTTGTAACTCGTAGCCGTACTTGCATGTGGTGATGGTATTCAGAACATAGGCATATTAACTGTTTCACAATACATCGCTTCCGCTTGCATCGGAACCCGAAGTGCGCACACCAATGCTCGTACATTGCTCAGAACTGAGGTGGTTGATTTTATCCGTCAGGCTGGGCACCCCTGTGTCGATTCGACAGCTGCTGGGTAACCCGGATCCCCGCGATAAGGCGCGGTTCTCCTACGTCGTCGCACGGCCAAACGTGCCCTGTGAGTAGACGGCGCCGGTATCAGCACAATCATTTTCCATTTATTCATTTATCCATTCATTCATTTATTCATTCATTCATTCGTTCATTTATTCTAATTCATTCGGTAGCGTCATCACTCTGTCGAGCTCGTTGTCCGAGCTAATGCTTTTAACGACTACGAGTCATCGGGCAATTAATTGACCGTCTTATTTTACCTCGTCTGCTGGTTATTTTAGGGATGCGTTTTTTGACGAACTGTTACGTCTGTTTCAGTTCTGCGAGGCGAGTACAAAATATTAGCCACTGATTACAAGAATTATGCGATCGCCTGGCAATGCGAGAATAAAAAACTCAGCAACAGCCACACAGGTGAGCCAGCCGCCTCCCCTCAATGTGATATAAACACTCTGAAAAACTTTTCATCACCGCCTTGCGCTACCGTAACTCTCCTTCTCTCAATCTCTGACACCGGATGGAGAGGTGACGTTGACCCTATATGTCCCAACACTCGACAGTAACCGGAGCGGAGTCGGCCGGACAGCCGCCGGAGGCCCCGTTCGTGACAAACCGCTGAGGGCACTCGCTGAGGGTCCGTTCGGCACCGCTGCACCTGATGCTGAGTACCCGCGCCGGGCCCGTGCGCCCGTCCCCGTACCGGCCGTCAGTGACGGCTGAGCCGATCGGAAAGCCCAGCTCCCGGCAGGCGACGGCGGCGTCCGCGTCTGTCCACGGAGAGGCGTCACAGAGCTGCCACCAGCGACCGGCGTCCGTCACGACGAGCCGGCCGGCGCGGCAGTCGGCGGGGCTGGCCGAGTGGCCGGCCAGCCGCACCCGGCGCCCACCGGCCGCCGTCAGCTCACAGAAGGGCTCAGCGCAGCGACCCAACAGACAGGAGAGCACCGGCCGGCTGGGGTGGCACTCCGAGTCCGCGGAGCAGGAGGTGCCAGCAGCCACCAGCGGACGGCAGTCGTCACCGCCGAACCCGGCGCCGCACGCGCACACACCCCCGGCACACAGCGCGTGGTGGTGCGCGCAGTCGGCGTCCCGCTCACACGGCTCAGAGATCTGCGACTGGCGGCGGCACTGTCCGGCGTCCTCCGAGGTCCCCTCACTGCAGACGCACACTCCCTCACTGCAGAACGAGAGAGCCACATCAGTGGCGCAGTCGGCGTCTTGTCGACACGGACTGCCGAGCTGACGGGGCTCCGCGCGCTCTGCCGAGCAGGAGGCGGAGAGGTTCCCCACCTGTTTAGCCACCCCGTCGAGCCTCTCCACCAGGTCTCGGTGCTGCTCCGTCAGACGCTCCAGCAGGTCGCCCTGCCGCGGCGGTCCGACGGCAGAGTCCGAGTCGGAGTCCGGTGAGGGTACCGCAGAGTCCAGGCGAGCCGCGATTGAGTCCAGCTGGACGGAGAGCTCCTGCTGCCGGTTGGAGACCCTCGTCACGCTGCTGGAGAGCTGCGACAGCACCCGTAACACGTCGTCCAACCGAGAGTCCACGGTGACGAACGATTCGTTCTGACAGGTGCAGCACGCTTCGTAAATCATCGTGTCGATGTACTTCGAGCCGGAGGTAGTGTTCAGGAAGGCGAAGATGATGACCACAGTCGCCAACATGACGCGGGAGCAATAGGTCAGCCGTTGCTACTGCAAGATGCTCTTTGCAATGTCCAGCTAGTTGGGTTGAATGACTGATCACCAATGGGCGACCCACTGCACCGGTCTGGTCGATGATATTCTTCGAATCGCCGAGGAAGTTCCAATAACACTTGTGACGAGGCGAACACACTATCTAACTCGCGACTCTGCTGGCCTAACGCCGGTCAGGGGCGACACGGGGCCGAGGGAGCTGACACCGAGCCCGTCTATGATGCGGGCCGAAGCTGATCTGCTGGCCGGAACTGGTGGCCCGGCGCCCACCAATCGCAGGGTCACAGAACCGCACTTCCCGTCTGAGAGCGGTCGGCACGCGCCAGCTGCGGCTGATAGGGACCACGGTGCGTGCGTAGGCCCGGGGCCGGCCGAAAACAAGCGCTGCCATATAGACGATAAACACGTAATCTTGGATACACATAGCTCGGATGCTGCTGGGCGCAGAGTGCTGAGCCCAGTCGGATGCTTTAGCTATGGTAAAACGATCAGAGATTTTACGGAACAACTTCATGCAGGCACAACCAATTTTTCTGTACTGAGCTTCCGCTTTCAGCTTTTCTCTGTTACACAGAAGACGTAGTGGAAGTCAACGTATCATCGACATCGACAAGACGTACATCGACGCCGTTTTGAATGATGAAATAACATGTATAAATTAGTCTATGCCTACTAAGTCCAAAGTCAGATGTTCACACACCTCTCCTACGCTGTGTAACGCCCGCTACACCTCCCCTCCACAGAGATCGGGTGGCTGCTGACCCGCTCCCGCCACCCGAGCTACGAGGTGATCCACGCGGCCAAAGCGGCGGCGCTGGCGGCGGGGCTGGACGTGAGGCACTTTCAGAAACAAGACCGGCGAGGGTGTCATCCGCTGTGACCATACGCTCAACATCCCACCGGGACCAGCTAATGATACTCACGAATGAATAATAATAATAATAATATATGTAATGCATGTTTAAACACTTTTTGGTCGTTCGCTTGTGTGCGTAGGTATGTGGTGACAAAGCAGGATGAAGCGAGAGGTATGGGTTGCGATCGGGAAAATGTAATTTAACGGAAAATCATTGCGCTTCGTTCCATAGTCTCGGTCTTCGAGTTCCCCAACAGACGGCACGCTTCAGAACCGGCTTACTTGAGACACTGATAAACCAATGACCGAGTAATTATCCCAGTCAGACCCTACGTCATAAACTGAGTCCATTACGGCACTTCCCAAACAGTTGTATTGGGACTGCCAGCTTTATGGAGATGGTAGCCAGAAGGCGTCCCCCTCCCCTTCCAAACGGCTGTGTCCACTGCCAGCTTTATGGAGATGGTCGCGGCGTCCCCCTCCCCTCCAAAACAGCCGTGTCCACTGCCAGCTGTATTGAGATGGTAGCCAGAAGGTGTAGTGATGGGCGCGATGATGGCGATGAATGACACCTGGAGCCCGCACGGGCCACGGACGCCTAGCGGCGCACAGCGGATCTGTCGGTCCTCCCGCGCAGGGAGCTTGTACTGAGATCCGGTCACACGCCCACAGGCACCGTCCGTCGGCGGCCGACCGCGGGCACGACATAAACACCGAACCAAACACACGCACAAACACCCCGCAGCCGCGCAATCAGAACCCTACAAACACGGACAAAAACACGCCGCCGACACGGAATCAGGGAGCAACTAAACGTCGCTGTCCCGCAAAACAAGTTAATTCAGCTGGTCAGACTACATATAAAAGCGTGAGCGGGTTAATTAGCGAGCGCTGGACAGGCGGCATATTCACAGAGCAGCCGCGGTCGGCGGCGCGGCGCACTACGCCGCCCGGGTGCGGTCGCGCCCCGACCGGAGGGGCCACTGGATGACCCGGGTCACAGTTCGGCGCGACCGAGGGCGGTGACGATGGGGAGGGCACGGCGCCTCCCACCGGAATCGGGTGCTGATCACGATATCAACTGCGCGGGGGAGGGGGAGAGGGGGTCAGTGGATGCCGATTGGCGAACCTAACCGACGACCGATAATACATGTGTTGTAATGCATTGGAGTGCGCGTTTCCGATCGCAGTTTTTGAGTTTGTTAGTCTGGCTGATCATTTTGCATTATCTTCTTAACATAAGGGCACTAATAACCAGCAAAGTCATTGCCATCGTGATTTTAGGAATGCATTTTTTTTTTTTTAGATGCAATTCATTTGTCTTGCATAGTCATGATGATGACCAGCAAAAGTAGCTTTTTACGCGAGTAATTACAGTTATATGTGAAGATATCCAACGTTAATAGCCAGGCCAAGGCATTTCCTTGGCACCTTTCAATAAATGCGGTGCCCCTGGCTCCAACTAACAATCCTTGTGACTTTTTGTAGCTACCGTTCGTCGTAATTTATAATTTCATCGTAAGTTAACGGGTAGCATACAAAAATGCTCTATTCATGTCGCATCTCCGACAGACAATCGACTCACCGCTTTGACGGTGGTCTTGATGAAGTCCTTGCGCGCCGTGAGGTCGTGCTCGGGGTACTTGGCGTACACCTTGGTGAGGATGTTCTTCATGGTGACCTCCTCGAGGTTGGCTCCGTCCAGCAGCTTCCGCACCACCGCCTTGATGTCGTTGTCCTGCAGAGGACATCGGGGTTACGTGAGAAAATAATAGCTTAGGAAACCGTGTTACACGCATAACAAAATAAATTGACAATAGTAATGAAAATTCAACTAAAAACATCTTATTACGGCATCACGACATTTGTATCAAGAGAAATATACCTAACAGCTATGAATCATTAATAAGCTATGAGAAAAGTGATTGAAATATCTGCTCCAAAGGCCGAAAGTTCTGCTCACCGTGGGAGGCTTGTTGGTCTTGGACTTCTTCACCAGGGGCTCGTCGTCCTCGCTGGAAGAGCCCGCGTCGGCGTCGCCCTTCTTACGCTTCTTCGGAGTCTTCTTGGCCGCGGGTTTCTTGGCGGAACCTTTGGCCGGCGTCTTCTTTTCCTTGGGAGTTTTCTTGGCGGGCGTCTTCTTCGGAGTCGCCTTCTTTTTCTTCGGCTGTGGTTAAACGAATTGAAATGCATTCAATGCAGCTGAGCGGCATTATTTGAAACGACAGTTATGATCAGTAATCACGAAAGTCGGGGCTTCAAAGGAGAGAATCCGCGGGGTGAACTGAAAAACAATCTTCACACGAGTCTCTAGCTAACACTAGTGACCTCTATCGGGCAACTCACGGCTCCGCCTATTAGCAATTTCCACATCGACTTACCGCAGCCAGACCCGGCACTCTCCGAAACCAGCCCTTACCGTTTCCTTCTCTGCCTCCGTTTCCTTCTCTGCCTCCGCCTCCTCCTCCCCATCTTCATCGTCATCGTCGTCCTCATCATCATCTTCGCCCTCGTCAGAGTCGCTGTCGTCGGCGGCGTCATCGCTCTTCGGCTTCTTGGGCTTCTTGGCCGAGCCGGCGCCGCCCTTGGACTTCCTCTTCCTTCTCTTCTTCTTCACCTGCGAACAGCAGAATAATTGATAATTACACAAAAATTGGGTGAATTAGAAGCAAAAAGGGTTACCTTAATCCCATGTCAGATGGCAGCCAAAAGGAAACAAGTTTGTTCGACTCGGTGAGCTTCATTCAGGATACAAAATTGGTACTCAACTACTCACCTGAAGTACCAGAAGAAGGTGGCGCCACATGCATCCTTAACATACTTATCGTGTGCTCCAACATCGTTGATCGTCCACTCCAGACACTACACTAGCCCCGCGTTCGGAGTTTCTCCGACGACGAAGATTCTACGTCGTCCGGCCAATCCCGTTCAAGGTCAGCGGGGGCTTGGCTGTGGTTATGGAACGCGATTGGCCGGACGACGTAGAATCTTTGTCGTCGGAGACTCCGAACACGGGGTAGGATAGCACTGAACAAGACGTGTCATACGGAAACCCAATAAGCCGTCAATAAACACAGATTCGCCCCCCCCCCCCTCTCCCGCCGAGGCCCGGTGACCTCACCTCGCGGCCGGACGGTTTGGGGTCGCACAGGAACTGGAGGATGCTCAGCGCCAGCTCCTCGCGCGAGCCGCTCTTCTTGTCCAGATCGAGGATCTTGCTCAGAGAGCGCAGCACATCTAGCCGGTACCTGTAACGCAGTTCGTGAGTATACCTGCCTACGACGCCACAGGTGATAAAGATACGAGATAGAAGACAAATTGAATAGCTACGAATAGTTGAGCGTCTCCTGAGATTACGACACGCAAGTTATGTTTGTTTAAATGTTTACACCTGTCTTCCTTCCGGATGATGAAAATATAGCGCTAATTTCGTTGTCGCTAAGCAAAAATGAGTAAATAATGACTATCAAAGACCTGAAATAGAATAAAGATCGGAAATCAGGATCGGTGGTCGCACTTACTTCTCAAGGTTCTCCTTCTTCTTAGTGAAAGCCGGAGTACCCTCCTTGAAGGCGAAGCCGCGGAAGGCACGCAGGTTGCGTCGGAACTCATACGGCCGGCCGGGACGCGAGAAGATGATTTGATGAAGCGCGCGCACATCGTCCGGGCGGCCCATCTGCCGGTCGGGAGTGCGTTATTGACATTGCCGCCGGATACATTCCAGTTTTACGGCATATTATTGACATCGTCTCTCGACATTTCCGGCCAACTATCAATAACAATTGGCAGCACATGGTGTATTGCCTGCAAACACAGAGATAGAAGTAATTCATCCCATCCCAACTCAAAACACGTTCTTGTTAGCACCAAGGTACGCCACTCGGACTGCTTACCGCGATGTTGTGGGCGATGACGGGACAGTCGCCCAGCTTCTCTCCCGTGCCCTCCTCCAGCACGTGTGCGCCACGCTTGGACTCCTCGCGCGTCTGCTGCACGAACCGCTGCACAGTCTTACGCTCGCGCCGGCCCGTGGTCTCCGGTGAACGCTCCAGAAGCGGCACTGCCAAAGGCACCGCAGGGTCACCAGTGTGAGATAAGCTTATCAGCATGAACATCCATGGTATTCAAGTGCTTTGTCAAGGAATTAGGTTGAGTCATGATCATAGTAGAACGCCAAATATAACACAAGGAGATGATACCTGCAAATAGTATCAGGATATGTATCTATTCAGCCTGCTCTTTCTAATGTATGGGTTATATGGCAAGGCCAAATGAGCAACTGACCAGGAGGTTCCTTCTCTTCCTCTTCTTCTACCTCCTCCTCTTCCTTTCCAACCTCTTCCTCCTTTACATCAGCCTTCTCTTCATCCTTGTCTTCTTCCTGAACTTCTTCCTTTAGTTCTGCCTTATCCTCTTCCTTCTCTTCCTCCTTTTCTTCCTCTTTCTCTTTGACCTCCTCCCTTACATCTGTAGTGGACTTTGTCTCTGTGTTCTTTAACACAGTGTCAGCATCACCACCGCCACCTCCATCACTGGGCTCAACTTTAGTTTCTGAGACATTGTTCTCTTCCTGAAAGGCAATCCAAACAAACCATGTTAAAGGGACCCTCCCACCTTCAAAAAAGTTAATGAATTGGCATGAAAGTGATGTCCCTTGGTTCAGAAAGAGCGAAAACGAATATCTACCAAATTTCACCGAAAAATATTCACTGGTTTTCAAGACATTAGGCTTTTACTTTTGTTTACTTTTTGGGATCTCCCCTGTTACTAGCGACTTTATTTGGAAGTAATAATTTGGCAGCCTTAAAGTGCGGCAGACGTTGCGCGCAAAGCAGCGTATACCACCACGTGTTAACGATGGTTTTAGTCTTAAGATTTAAAAATCGCTAGATCTCCGCTGACGTCACAAATTCTAAGGGGGCATTCCAATGCATTAGCCCCTTAGAATCCGAAAACTGCAAGTTTGAAATTCCATATCTTCGAATTAAAGCATTTTTCGATGTTGTGAGTGCCCAAACCGGTATTTGCAGGCCATGGCCACCAATTTGGCTATCTCAACTCAAAACTAATGTTAAGGTGGGAGTGTCCCTTTAACTATTGCAAACAGTCTGGAAAGTAGCAATGATTATTAACATAATAGCTGTGAGCACCTTCCATTCAACAGTTCTGTAATTTAGCTGCATGGTAAAATAAATTCCAGTGCATGCATAAATTGAGAAGTGTTTTAGTTACCTAGTGGGTACCCAACATAAAAAATCGGGAGGGCTACATATGTGCTTGTTTGTAAATGAACTCGTTTCACTTGTTCATTAATAAACTTGTGCTTAAACAAGTCGAGCGAGACATAACACAATTTAAACAAGGAGGTCGAGCGAGTCGCGAGACATGCATTTAAACAAGGAGAAGGTTGCATTAAGTACAATTCACATATGAAATGCTCTTAATTCACGACCAAAGCCTAATCTTAAGTAAATATGTGCAATTAAAGCTTCAGCAGTCACAGGCATCTACCATTATTCAAAATATTCACTACGACATTCGCATCAGACCGAGCCATCACAATCACGACTACAATAAAACGCGGTGTACAATCAGTCGTATCTCACCGAAACAGGCTTCACCTCAGAATCCATATTTAATAAAAGCTCGTAACAACTGAATTCTAACAAATTTGATGGTCAAAAAATTTAAAACGGCGATAACGTGCGCCCGACGCCACCACCGTGGGCGCGAAATCGTCAGGACCGGAGTAAAAACGTGACAGCCAAGACGTCTGCTCGGTTAATATCTGTTCGCTACATTAGCGGAAAAGTAACCAATTAACGAGGCTATTGGATGTTCGCGTTGACATAAAAGTGTCTTACACAATTTGATTCGTCCTGTCGCAGGGTCAGCAGGATCTACAGCTTTTTATGAACATTCTGCTGACGGTGATTGTTGTAGTTGTAAACAAATGATTGATTGCGTACGCGAAGGACGTGATTTGCGGCTTTTCACTTTGCTTTTAGCACTGGGCAGGGACTAGATTTCGGAAAAGATTTTTTTTTTAGAAACTATCAAAGTGCGTGGGTAAGAGCCTGACTGCTGCCTGCTAAAGCTGCTAACACCATTGTTTGACGCTATTTTTTTTGCCTTCACTGCGCCGGATCAGGATATTGGCGACGGAATTTCGCATAAAGGACTTCGGTGAATGCCATAGTCCTAGTTATAAGTTGTGGTATTCGTGGTTCAGTTTTTGAGGTGTTATTTTTCAATGTTTACCCTAAAAATGAGAAAATCAACCTCACTAGGAGCTGATGCCTGACCATTGTTGTAGTTAAGATTTTATGCATCAAGTCCTCGTTAATATTTGTTTATTTTACATGTAACATGTGTTACATTGCTGTTCCCCATATTCAATAGTCTGACATACATCTTACCTCCACCATTAGATACAATGGAGACCTTGGTCGAGGCTGGACAAAATGTTTTGCTTGTATGGAGCGGACAAATTGATGCCGAAGAAATGAAACAGCTTGCAGAAAAACTTCAGCAGAAGGTTGGCTCTGCTGGAAAAGTGGCTGTTGAAAATGCTGAGCGACTGAAGATGGGTATGTATGTACATATGTACTGCTGAACAAAAACAGCCTCCACTCTCCTCTCAAGGATAATAGCATCTCCAACAAAGACTGAGCGAGTTTCAAGACTGAAAAAAGCTCAACATATTTACATTTATCCACCTTGCAAGGCTCATTTGGTTGATTGATGTTATTTTGATTTGGGTCATCTGAATTCCATCAATGTACCTGGTCACCTGCTTTGTCATCTTGTCATGACCTTTACCCCTGCTTCCCATTCTCGTGCCCACAGCGGGTCACGCGGCGTCCAGTTTCGACCGGGCGCTGTCGGGTGTGGTGGGCGCCCCGCCGACCCACGAGGACGCCCTCCTGGCCGAGGTGCTCGGTCTGCTGCGGCCCGGCGGCGAGCTGCTGATGCGCGACGCGCGCGGAGAGGCGGCGGCCCGCCGGCTCACCCTGGCCGGCTACACGGGAGCGGCCGCACGCGCCGAGCTCGGCGGCTACTGCTGCGCCCGCAAACCAGACTTCGAGGTGAGAGACTCCGTTGTTCCGTATATCTCGGACTTTTGATTGAGTGACTGGGTCGCTCTGAGCTGATTTGACCGGGGATTGGAATGGGTAAACTGAGAACTGGGTAAGCGCACTGCGCTGTCTCCTCTCACCCCGACCATTCCCTGCGCCAGGTGGGCTCGTCCGCGCCGCTGAAGCTGAACCTGCCGACCTCGGCTCCGCCGGCGGCGGCCGCTGTGTGGACACTCTCCGGGCAGGACGCGCTCGACGACGACCTCGACCTGGTGGACGAGGACGAGCTTCTGGACGAGGAGGACAAGCTGAAGCCGGACCCGGCCTCGCTGCGCGGTCAGTGGCCGGGCGGGACTTGGGTCCTTCGTTCTAGGTAGTCTAAGTAGGGTAGGCTGGCGGCGAGATCGAGTAGATTGCATTTTGCGTTTTTTCAGCTCGATTTGCCGCTTTATGTGAAATCTTAAGGATGATGTGTTTGAGTGAATTGGTTCCGATCTTGCGTCATGCCCTTGTGAAGTGCGAACTGGCCGTTCTAAGTAGATTGCTGTGTCAGCATTATCGTGGCGAATGAGAGCAGTGTGTGTAATCTGCCAGGTGCGCTTTCTCTTTGATTTCTTGGTGTATTCGGGCGTTGATGTTCGTGAGCATCGGTGGTTCAGTGGTAGAATGCTCGCCTGCCACGCGGGCGGCCCGGGTTCGATTCCCGGCCGATGCATTTTTCTCACACTTCTCACATTCTTACACAGGCTAGCGGCCATGCTCCCTAACATTAGTATTGAAATGATAGGTTTTAAGCACTTCCATCCGTTATACTCGCGTGATGTCATCAGGACTTTAGCCCAAGGAACTCTGTTGTAGCTTAGTGAGCCCTTGTGCCTAGTATTTTCCCGTGTTTTCATACCATTCGTGCCTCTCTTTCCCCCAGTGTGCGGCACCACTGGCAAGAGGAAGGCGTGCAAGGACTGTTCGTGTGGCCTGGCCGAGGAGCTGTCGGCCGGAAAACAGCCGGTCACCAAATCAGTCACATCATCCTGCGGCAGCGTGAGTGACCGCTTCTCTCTCTCTCTCTCTCTCTCTCTCTCTCTCTCTCTCTCTCTCTCTCTCTCTCTCTCTCTCTCTCTCTCTCTCTCTCTCTCTCTCTCTCTCTCTCTCTCTCGCTCTCGCTCTCGCTCTCGCTCTCGCTCTCGCTCTCGCTCTCGCTCTCGCTCTCGCTCTCGCTCTCTCCCTCCCTCCCTCCCTCCCTATGTCCTGGTCGCCTATCTCCGTGCGGCGTGAGAAGTGAATGAATAGTTTGTCATAGTTCGTGCAGTTGAATTTCTTCTTTGGCTTTGTCGCTTGTCATGATGATGAGTCTTGTTGCGTCATTTTATGACGAGACTAAGTTAAATCAGCATCAGAATGTGCTGTAGGCGTGACAGCCACTGGGAAGGTTTCATAATATATAGGTACCTACATGATACATGTCTCACAGCATGATAATATTGATAGTTATGTCGAAGTTTCCTTTTACCGTGGACCGTTCGCTTTTACGCTGAAGTTTAAGTTTCTGTGGGTGACGTGACTAGCTTTCCTTCGCCACGTCACGTCGCCCTTTGTCTTTAATTCGTGACCATCCCACCCCAGCGACGTGCCCAGCTCTGACCCCGCCCCTCCCTCCCCCAGTGTTACCTAGGTGACGCGTTCCGCTGCGCCAGCTGCCCCTACCTGGGCATGCCAGCCTTCAAACCCGGCGAGAAGATCCAGCTGTCCCAGCGACAGCTGAACGCAGACGCCTGAGCGACCACCGGTCGGTGTGTGCTGCTTCCCGAGTCCCGATACCGGGGCTGGGGGTGTCAGAAGGTGTGACCGGCGGCGCCGCAGGTCAGTGGCTGCACTGGCGGCCGGGGCGCCCCCTGGTGACGCCCCTCGGGTGCCCTGGCGCCCTGGCCTTGGTGGCGCCCTCGATGCCGTGGCGCCCTCAGTGTCGTGGGACGACCTCGGCGCCCTTGGCTCTGGCGACTCCCCGTGGTACCATTGATAAGGAGATGTTGCGTCCAACAGTGGGGCTAGTTTCGGGTTGTTCTATACGACTGGTGTGAACGGAGATGCAGGGAGCGAGTCTGACCGCCTGGTGAGGTCAGGTCGAGGTCAGTGGGATAGGCAGTGAGGTTGCACGAGTTCCTCCGTCAGTGGAGACGCTGTTGTGAGAGGATAACATCTGGTACGGACCACGATACTTCACGGTGATAGTGATGATATTGCTCGGGGCAGTGAGTGGCACGCTTCCTTAGTCTGCCGGTGGTTAAGGTTGATGCCGGAGAATTAAGTGGTATAATTATTCACGTTCTGTCCAAAGTACACCAATTTGTGCGTATTTTACTGGACATGGTTGATCAATGGACGATTGAGGAGCCACAACGCGTACGCATTTGTATTTGTCATATCCTAGAACAATAATAAATAACGAATGGCATCATATGTGTGAAGCGAGTGCCGCGCCGCGGTCAACCTAGTCTGGACTCGATACATAGCCTCTCTCTGGTCACATCAGGCAAACGACATAACACACAATCTCGCGTCAGAACACGCGAGAAATCGCACATTTACGCACATTCTCTCTCGAAGGATCACAATTTTCTGACGTCACACACACATTGCCGTATGCACACAAACCGACGAGCAAAATTGTTGACGAATATTTTGTTTTAACATGCACTCTGGCGGTAGATGGCGCCCCCAATGCGCAAACGGATACATCGATACAACACCTCCAATACAACAAAGAAGTTCAGACATTGGTATCAATACACATCCACGCCAACTGGCCTTAATCAACAAAGCAGCGTTCGTTTTGATTTTATCGCCGTAGGTGTGCTAATATTCGAAAGTAAGGTGAAAGCAAGAGAAGTTTTGCTTTGTACGGTACCTTGAAGTTGTTGATACCTAAGCACATGATTGTGTTACAATCAAGAGCGTTATAGTCAATAGCGTTACATGGAACTGTGGATCCGAATCGCCAATGAAAGCGTTAGTTACAGTCTCCGATGCCCACAGCACAGCTGGACAACAGACAGAGAACCTAATGAAAGATGGGCGAAAGTTCCAAGGTCTCCCCATCCATAGGCCACCATTCTATGCGCCGCACAACGGCGCCCAACACACGCCGATCCTCATGGACATAAACCCTGACCAACTTCCGTTATCGTAAGCCGCATACACAACCAGCTCAATTAATGTCGCTGGGCGACTCAGAGGTCTGTTGAATGCGATACATGTGCATACCCCACGGCTCCAAACAGCCTTGTAACGGTGCTATATGCCGCTAGCCACTACACTATTGTCAACTCAAGTGCGATGATCACATTGGTGCCAGCTGATAATGGTAATGTGGGTTCGTCCAAACTCAATCCGGCGAAGCTCATCTGTCCTTTCAAAATACCGGGCTACCGAACACTGACAGGCACCTCCAGCTGGCTGGCCCTGCGGTGCTTCGAGGGCCGACCGGCGGTCCTCAGTGGGGCGCGGTCGGCCGGTCGGGTCCGCGGTGACCCCTGTCCTCTGTGACCTCTGACCTCTGACCCTGACCTTTGACCTCAGCGCCCATCACGCCCGGTCACATATCAGTCACATCCAACCACCACGGACCAGCGACTTTGCACCGCGCGCGCTCGAATCCCATCGGAGCCATAAGTTTTCATTCTTCCGTCTATCCAGGGCAGCGCGGCGCTGCTCTTCGCTTCCGCCCGTCGCTCTCCATTCCCGTCCCAGTCGTGTGCCGGTGAGTGTCACAGCGCGCTCCGCCCGTTCAGGGCACAGCCTCTGCCAGCAGCACACTGTGCCGCAGCGCAGGCCTCTCTGTGTACGGCGGGGGCTCCTCCGGCGACCCCTCCTCCGGCTCCACGTAAATGTGCGTGACGGCCGCGCCGGCGGCGCCGCGCGCGCTACCGTGCAGCACGTGCCGCTGAGGCGCCGGCGCCGGCTCCCTGCGCGCCGCCGTCGGTCGGAGCGGCGCCGGCGGCGGCGCTGCTGCCTCCTCAGCCCCGGCGCGCTCCCGCTTCTTCTCGAGGAAGCCGCTGGGCGGTCCTTGCGGGTAGAGGGTCTCGTAGGGCGGCGGCTCGGGTACGCCGGGCCGCGGCGGCGGCGGCTGGCGGGCGGCGCGGCCGCGCAGCTCCGCCGGCTCCCTGGCGGCCGTCCAGCGCACCGAGCGGATGAAGTAGCTGACGGCAATCACCAGCAGCAGGACGATCACCGCGAACCCCGCCCACGTGGCGAAAAAGTGGTCCGATTCTGGCGAAAGAGGGGGGAGGGCTCTGTCACTATGGGTTGATAGATTCGGCAGTTCGCTTATGATACAGTTGTAACAGCACACGGCAGTCGTGGGCGCCAAATAATAGAGTCAGCTGGTTAGGCAACCTAGCTCGTACCGATCGACCGACGAGCATTGGGTCACAAGGCCATTTCTCTCTCTCCTCCAAGTCTGATACATCCGTTCATCATATGGCACTTTTAAGCTCATTATCACTATGTCACCGAATCACAACTTTGAGCTCACTCCACCATACATCGAGCTCATTTCCTGCGAGCTCACCACACCACCCATATTTCACCTGTGAGCGTGCCGGTGTGCTGGTTACAGGTGGAACTGTACTCGTCCTGGTTGGCCGTGAAGCCGCAGTTGGGGTAGCCGTCGCAGACCAGTCGCTGGCTGATGCAGCGTTCAGTCTGGTCAGACGAGTCGCGGTTCAGACACAGGAAGCGTCCCGCACCACAGCCCATGAACAGCTCTGTCGGCACAGGAGGGCAGTGAACGTCAGAGGTGATACGCTGAGATCGGGGCTGATATTGTTCCCTCCAGTTACAAAACAAACTCCTGAAAACCACAGCCTGCTCTTTTCCATAATGAGGAAGCTGGTCGCACTTCATGGCATCCATATCAAATTCTGTATGATGCATCAATTCGTTTGATGTGTGTAAGTAACAATCGAGATGCTTTGAAAATCATCAAGCAATTGGCAGCTCAAAGGGCGATATTTTGTGTGCACAGCTGATACATTCATCTGCGGTAAATCCTTTGGCCGCGTCTCGTTTTGCTGCTGTGATTTCAAACCAACTCTGGCGTGACGCATATAGTAAGGCGTGCCCAACTCAAATCGGCAGCCAAACCGCGGCAACTCGGCCGTACGTTCCAAACATCCAGCCTGCTGCTCTTGGCAGCTCGCGGCCGTCGTTCGGAAGCTGTTGCCAACGCACTGCGGTCCGCCGCTGGCCTTCAATAACACAGCTCGGCCACAGAAATGCGTTCTGATGCTGCTTCTGACAGTGACACCTCACTTGTCGGCTAGGCTGTGGCGTTTTCTTTATTTAAAACGGCAAGTGTTGAATTTGTGCGCATCGTCCTCAAGTGTCAAGTCTGGATAGCCAGGCGTGCAGCCAAAAGTAACATCATGTTGAGCGGTTTGAATGCTTACCTCGGTTATAATAGGCAGTGACCACCACCTCGAACGAGGGCTGTAGACTGACGGCGTCGCGAGGCACGTGCGCCTGCAGGTTGATCTCTCGCACCGTGCACTCATACCCTGTGGGAAGGAGGTCAGGTCAGGTCAGGCCACACTTGGTTACGGTCCGCATCAGCGTCTGTATGAAGGTATTCGTGCCCACCACTGTGAGAACGTGTCCCGTGTGACAGAGCTCTTTTACCGTACCGTACCGAATGCGACCGGAATGAAGTTAGATAGCTGCCGCTAGATGTCACTACTGTGTGCCCCTGAAGCTATGCTGTACCGCACATGTCCAAACCTATGTTGTATACCGCTGCCGCAAGATGTCACTACAGTTTGCGCCTGAAGGTATACTGTACCGCATGCCCTGGAAACGAATCCGCAAAACGCCGCAAATTATGATATCCAAATTTGCGGCGGATAAATGTGCCCTCGTCCGTGGTTCACCGACCCCAGCTCAACACGTCCAGTCACTTCCCGGTACGACTTATCACCCCAGGCCACCGACAGGCGACGGAAAGCCATTACCTCTGACCACCCTGACACACCGATGGACGACAGCCGACAGCCGCCCCATCTCCCGCTCGTTCCTGACCTCTGACCCTCGCACAGACGCGCTTCGGCCGTCCGCACTGCGCCGTACCGTCGCTAACCGCCACCGCTCTCCGCCGGCCAGGCCACGCGCGGGTCACGTACAGACTGCTAACGCGATTACTCTCCGACGAATGGAGATGGCTTCGAGGCGGCGTCGGTGCCTCGGCGAGGTCGCTCGCGCGCGGTGCGGGATTTTCGGCTTGGTTTCCATGATCTCCTAGGGCACTGACCGAAAGGCGGTTTTTCGGGTCACGTGGCTGGCGAAGTGACTAATGGTGGGAGAGCTGATAGCAATTGATGGCAAGGCTTTTACTAAGACCTGTCGACGGTCCGGCACGGTTGTGCTTATTGCTAGAGTTGTAGACGATTGAAGAGAGAGCGAGTAAGGGTAACAGAGAAGAGACAGGCTGGCGGCGCCGCCGTCTCTCCCATTCGGAGTGAGTGTCGGCCGCAGCTGCACTAGTCAGCAGTCAGGACCGACTCCTGTTCAGAGTGAAACCCCGAGCACCGCGTGACTTCCAACACCGTCCGACGCCATTAACAGCGATCGGCTTTTAAACTCCGGCGGTGAACAGCTTGGCAAGGAGCCTCCTTTGTCCGGTCCAGCATGGTTTACGGCCAATCAGGCGGGGTCACTCACTGACAGCTTGGCCTGTTCCGTGCGGCGTGCTCCTGGCAACCGGACATACAGAGCACACGGGCGAAGGGACAGGGGGAATAATTCACGCCGCTGAGGTGCACGTTATTAGTGCACACGACTTTCTGGCAACGGACCAGCAGCGATCCAGCGTCGAGCAGGGTCGTGTTTTGTGGATCTGCTTTTGAAGAACGACTAATGAGCAGGAGAGGTCAAATGGCATTGACAGGATATGCATGCCGGGGTCATTTTTAGTTTTGATGTTTTATGATAGGTGTACGCTACGACTCAAATGGCTGTGTGGCTGTGATGGTGGATTCGAGTTGTGTAAACGCTTTACGTAACCGGATGGTGCACAGCAGTAAGTTCTTCAAACATTTTGCATGTCTAACGCCTTTTGTCTGAAACTACTTTACATTACATGATTCACCAAACTTAAAATAACATTCACATGCCAAGCTCGCGAAACACCCATAAACAGATGATTTTCTTGGCTTTCAGGTATGTTTTGACGATCGGTTTTAGAAGTGACGCCCTGCCATTTTGACCATGAAACGTTATATCTATACGGTACGATTATTTTAATTTCGTTAGAATTTGAAACGGGTCAAATGTGCGCGAGCAGGGTCTCGTGATGGGCTCGTGGAGTGTACCTACTACCTAATGCCATTCGTATCATGCTCATTGGGGCTGAATTGCTTAAAAACTTTCCTAATCATCGACGTTTAATAACTACATATATGAGCCTTACTATGCCGGTGGCTTATTTTAGCATCACAACAGCGCAGATAAAAGAAAATAGTAATAGTATATCCACTCTACTTAGGCCTCCAGATCCCTCTAACTGCCGATGGAACCCCACAAACGACGCCGCAGCCTCCAATTCGACGGCCACAGTGAATTTCCAAACAACATTTTGGCACCGGGTAAATCTCCTAAATGGCCTGCCAAATGGCACAGCCTTTCTGAAGCTCTTCTTTATCGTCGTTGTAAGTTTCACGCTTTGGTGACGCCGCTGGTGCGTGCGCGGTGCGGTGTTTTCGGTGGAGTGTCGCCCCGTTCCGCCAGCTGGAGGGGTGATAACCACTGAGTGCCTCCCGTGACCTCTTTGTGGCCTGTCACGGCGCTCACACACCCGTGTTTATGCCGTTGCCTCGGTGCGCTGACGTATGTTTGTACACTGACGCACGGGAACTTCACAGTGATGACGTCATTGGCCGACGAGGTATGTGCGGATCAACGGGCGGCCTTGTCAGCTACGATAATTGTTCGTGCTGAAGGGACATCTACTTCGACGAAAGTCGTCGACATGCATTATAAAGACTCATTACACTTGAACTAGAAGTTCAAGCGCAAGAAGTTCAGCCACGAACATACCTAGCCTGACATTGGGCTGGTAGTTAGCGATTTCGTCATTCTCTTTGACCAATTGCGCTTATTTCAACTCCCAAATAACTCTGTCCGTGAACTCAATAGGTAGTCATACATTCAGACAATGTGGACTGTGGAGCCAGCGACACCCGAGCGCTATACATCACTTTGGCTTGTGACGGCAACACAGAAGGCTGAAATCAATTGCAGAGGGACAGTTGGTTCCAGCTGGGAAAATGGTGATACCAAGTGACCTCTCTTCTACGAACTAGTTCGGCCTCGTATATCAAATTTGTGTGACACTCGAGGCCCCAGGGTGGCGTTATAAACCAAGCAATGTAGTGGAACATTGGCCTAGAATGCAAAATCTATAGATGTCGCATGTGTTTTGTGGCGTGACGGTCCCTCGCTATCGGCAGTGTGACGACGTGACACATCAGTCATTGTCGCGTCACATCAGATCACGTCACATCGCGTTACATTTAGACGTTACCTCACGTCACGACTCCTCTTTATCTACGCCCACGCTACAGCTGATCTACAGTGACGCAAATGGCCACACAATCGTCTGCGTGTCCCGTGGAGTGTGTGGTGTTGACACTGCGAGACACGGTTCGGTTCCGTGCCCCCCCCTCCCCCGGCGACCCGCGGCACGCGCCACATTCACCCCCTCACGCCCAACGACAGCGGCGCACAGCTGACTTTGGGATTTCGCAGGCCAAATGACGTCATTTCATCCAGAGCCGCCGGCAACGGCATGGGACAGGGAGGGGGGAGAGCGCTACTCAATGTATCCAAACGGACTGCCTGTCAAAGCAGTGTGTCAGATTCATTTATCCGTTTCCGCGTGAGGCCCACGCCAACATTCCGAACGGTAACGGCGCGTGACGGTAAATGTGACGGTGAAACGGTAGGCGATGGGGCTGATTGACACAACCCGTCCCGGAGGAAGGGTGGTAGGTATAGAGTCCTGTCCCTCCATTTCCTATCGACCTCAACGACTAGTGGTATGAAGAGCGCTCTTTTGTTTGCCATCGAAACGGAACCCCGCTGCATGACGCACATTGGTTGTTGAGAACACCGGCAGAGCAATAATGCAGCCATGCGGGTCTGTTGCGTGCCGACCTTTCGGTGTAGTGCATAGGGGCTCTAAATATCGGGCGCTGCATAGTTTTATCATGCTCTTTTTTGAAGCATATATAGGACGTTTCAAATGAAGTGGATCCTAACCTTACAGCTCAACTGGAACCCAAGCTCCGGCCCTTAATTTGGCTGAACAGGATTTCCGTTACATTGTCTGTATTCCTACCAGATCCGATCGAACAAAGGATATTTCTATGGCTAAGTTGTTTCAGGATAGATTGTGCGGCTATAGCCAGTTCTAAGCTTCTATATTAGATGAGAGTTTATCTACAGCAGGAAATGCGAATGACATGGCTTTCTGACAGCTTGCAGCCACCGGTTACGTAAGCTACCTAACCAATAAATCGTCCGGAGAATGTAGATATTGCATAATATACCGCGAGGCTGTATCACGTATATGCTCATATTACAATCGACTGAGCAAAAACTTCCACATCACTTCTTATACCTTCTTTTTCATACAAAGAAAAACAAACAAAGACATGGGTCGCATAGCTGGCTAAGTCGACAGACCATATTCGTTCAGAACCGGCTTCATTATCCCCACCGCTATCTGACGAAGCCCTATAATGCAGACTTTAGCGAAGTCCCGGAACTGTAGCCTCTCGCCGTTTGATCCCGGCTATATCGGCGGGTATTTTGGCAGATCGGTCGGCGCCAGGCTCAAGGGTATCGAGTCCGTCCACGGGGGGGGGGGGTTATCAGACTCCACGGTGGCTGCCAAAAGTGGTGACAGGCCGAGACCGCTTCACAGGCAGACAGGACACTGAGTGTAAAATGTGAGTGACGGATTTTGTGGCCGTGGCAAATTATGTGACAGCCTCTGTTGGAGTGTAGGGGATAGAAAAACGCGGTTGGAGTGTCACTCTTTGTTTTGGCTTTGTGATTTGCTGTCCAGTGTTGTATAGCCGTCGGCACCTTTTTAGGAGGTTCATGGAGTCTGTGGTTGTCTATATCTGTTAAAATTTGCGGTCAGAGTAGGCATTATTTGTTGAGTCAGGGTACGCAGCTGCATGTGTCTAACTGCGACCGAGTGTGTAGCTGTGGGCGTGTGACCCGTACCACTGTCGCCGTTTGATTGTGCGGCCGTCACGTCTGTGTCACATATCTACTCACTACGTGACCGCTCACATGTCTCTCTGAATGGCTACCAAGTCCCGCTCCAACATATCACCACACCTGCCACCGAGACACTGACAGCCCCCGCCCCCCCCTCTCCCCGTCCGTCTCAGGGGCGCGACCCGCCGGCTGTCGCCCGGGGGCATAAATCGTGGTGCCGACACATGGCCCGACTGATTTGGCAGGAGTCCCCGGCTGGGACGGCCGGATCGAGACTGCACAGTCGCCGCCGTCATCTGTCTCCGCTGGGGTGAGGTGACCGGGTTTGGACCGGCTCGAATTTGTCAGTCGGAGGATGACCGTTCCACGACCATCCCAATTCTTTGGATAAACGGGTGATTTTTGACTGGCTCGCGGCTGGTGGAGTGGGCTGCCCGAGTATCGAATGAAAAAGGGATGCACATGACGCGTGTCGCTGCGATGAAATTTCAGCTTCACTGGCTGTTTGGGATCGGCCCGCGGCCACATTTGGGTGGATCAGAGACCCCAGAATCCAAGAATTATGATGTGGTCGCCGGCAATGATTTAGTAGATGCGGAGTCTGGGCTCAGAAAGGCCATGATAAATATACAGAGTTATGCTAATGAGTGACCACGGCTGAATAGAAAGACATTCTGAAGGCCGGAGCGGCGCCGATAATTCGCTGCCTATTTTTGTTCATCTGCAGAGCAAGCTTGTCCTGTGGAAAGGCAAAACAACCGCAACTTGCAAGGCAACTTCAGCAAAAGTGCGGAAACTATGCTCCCTCCAAAGCCTACTGCTTATTACGCGTCTAGAAAACATACAACTTTTGAAATTAGTACCATCATTGCACGGTTGCGAAAATATAAGCCTATAGGTCGGTTTGTTGGTTTATCCAGTATCCACATTGCCTTAGTCGTCCGTACCGTATTTGTCATCCATGGTCGGGTCGCAGGCTCCGAACAGGCTCTTCCTGACCTCCAGGTGATGAACTGAGGAGCGCCATTCCCCACAGAGACGCTCCGTATACCGGTGTGAGCGGCCGAACGTAGTCACCTGAGGGGCAGATACGGGGTCAGGTCACGAGGGTGGACAAGGGGCGCCTGGTCAGGTCACTCGTCACTGTGTGTGGCGGGAGCTGAGCCGGGCGAATCTCGAAGAAGTAATGAGAGTGAGATTTTGCCCTTACTGTCTATGTAAAAAAAAAGATATTGTCACACATAAAGCGCAATTGGCTGGGTTAAAGACATATGAACAGCTTGATAAGTTGCACTTTTCGCCGTTCAACACGAGTGAGCAATGCCACCCGGTAGTTTCACTGGCTGAACGTTTTTACCGCACCATATTTCAGAGTACAGTGGGTTAAATGTAGGACGAAGCCCAGTTCCGCGGAAGTAGGTCAGCACCCAGCATCATTCTTTGTAGGTACTGCCAAGGACGGCCACAGGCTCTATCTCGCCCAGTCGGGCGGGAACTCCCTAGTCGGAGGCATCCAGCGTCGGCTCAGCTCAGTAACTAATAAGCACGCCGGCTCAATCAGAACGCTAATGGTCGGCAGCCGAGTCCCGGAGGCGGCATCAGTTCCAAATGGAGGTATGACGCAGGCCGTCATCGATCGCCGGACGACGAGGAGCGCCCGCTCGCCGCGCGCGGAAGACGGCCGGTTGCCACGGCGGACCAACAGACGAACGGACGGACGGGCGGGAGACGTTGGTCACGTGTGTCACACAAAACCCGGACGCCTGGGCAGCATGGGGTGATGTGTGAGACTGGAGGTGGGTAGGACGGTCGCGTCTGGTTACTAACTATAACTTTGTCATAAATAATGGTATTTGACTTGAAGCAACTCTTCTGGCCAAAAATCCATCAATTTCGTACCTTGTTGAACATGGCGATGTCTATGACCAAGGTTAATTGCTCAATGGCATGGAGATCTTACAAACATAATAGAAGATGCCTTTGAAGTGATTTTATGGGCAGTGTAATGTAAGTATTTAATAAACAAACGCCGTGTTAAATTGCCACCAAACCTCACATTATAAATAAGACAGAGTGGGGACTACAAGTCTTCCGCGTTACAGCCCATGTTTTCGGTCATGATTGCATCAAAGGTGTGATCAAAAGAAAGAGATCCACGATATGTTTGCAGTATGCAGCACCGGTGGTGGCACATGTATGTTTTCCTGGCCAGTCTTTGCACGGTACGATTTTAGCCTTCTTCGTGGCGCCGCGGGCTTCCCAATCCTATTAGCTGACCCCACCGGCCGGACTCGACCGGGACTTAGTTTGGACGCGGTGATCCTACTCGACGCTTCGCCCGTGGCTGAGTGTCAATTTGCAGCTCAGGCTGACAGTCTAGCCTTCTTTTCGTTCTTTTCCAGAATGGGCGAGTGTGTCGATCTAGTGTGCTTCAAATATCTCGGAATCTCCTCCCGCTAGAGGCTTCTCGTTCCAACGTTCTTCAGAATTCGACCGAGGCAATGTCTCGTGGACTTTTATCGCATCTGCTGACTTGCTGCGTGACATCGGCTCTTCTCACCGGACTGTGCAACGCTGCACCCGCCAGTGCATCGTGCAAATCGACTGAATGTCTCACGGCAGCGCTGCTCCGTCTCGAACTCGAGCTCGGTCAGCTGAAGAAGCACGTTCGCAACCTGGAGCAGTCCGCCTGGCCAATTGAGGGTGGCAGCGTCGCCTGGCAGAAGTGCCGCAAGGGCGTGTGCCACTGCGGCCGGCACAGTCGCACGGTGAGCTGCCAGCAGCTGAGAGGTCTGAACAGCGTCCCTCGACGTCAGGTGATCCCCGACAGCGTCGAGGTGCTTCATCTCTCGCACACTCACATCGATGCGATTCACGAGAACGCGTTCCGTGGTTTGTTTCGACTCAAAGAGCTGTACGTGAGTGAGAACCTGCTGGAGGTGCTGCCTGCGAAGCTATTCTATGATCTTGAGAACCTGAGTGTTTTGAACCTGCGAGGGAACCGGATTACGGAGCTGGAGAAGGACCTGATGGTGAACAATCGCTTACTTACTGTGCTGGACCTGTCCGATAACCGGCTCACCGAAATATACGAGCAGGAGTTCTCAGCCCTGAGCGTTCTCAATTATCTGACGCTGCGTAACAACGCCATCGTCTCGCTCAGACCGGACACTTTCCGCTACCTGCGCAGTCTGGAGCACTTGGATCTATCGGGAAACCGGCTGTCCTCGCTGCCCGAGACTCTCTTCAGCAGCCTCAAGGTGCTGCAGATCCTGAACCTCAGCGAGAACCGCATCACAGCTCTGGCCGATATGACGTTCGGCGAGAACGTACGCTTGGTGACGCTGGACCTGCATCAGAACGCGCTGGAGAACCTGTCGGAGCCGTTGCTGCAGAACACTACCTCCGTGACCTACCTGGACCTCTCTGCCAACCGGCTCAGCAGGGTCAGCGACCGCCACTTCGAGCGCCTGCTCTTCCTCAGACACCTGTTCCTCGGCTACAACAAGATCAAGCACCTGGAGAACGGCACGTTCACGGCGCTCACCAGCCTCGAGCATCTGTTCCTTTTCGGCAACTCGATGACAAGAGTGGATAACGGTGCGTTTCGCGGACTGCATCAGCTGAAGTGGCTGCTCCTCAACGACAATGACATCAAAACGCTGCCTGCGAATGTGTTCAAGGACCTGGGAAGTCTGGAGAGACTACAGCTGAACAGCAACGAGTTTCACAGCCTGGCGACCGGTCTGCTGGACAACCTCCCTCGCCTGCGGCAGGTTCAGCTCGGAAAGAACCCGTGGCACTGCGACTGCTTCATCCTCTACCTGACCCACTGGCTGAAGGTGAACCGCGACAAGCTGTGGGACCGTCAGCCCAAGTGCCGCGGGCCAGGCGACCTCGGCGGCAGCTACGTGATCAACATGACCTTCAACGACGTCTGTGACGGCCAGTGGCGCTCTATGGTCAGCATCAAGGGACGCGTCTGAGGAGCCCCGAGTGGTGAACTCGTCATTTAGAAATTGTGTCATTGGAATGTTGAATCTGTGTCTATAAGAGAGGCGTGAATTAAATGGATATCAGCCGCGAACACATTTGAAAATCAATATCGCAATGAGTAGAGGAGAGCAGCAGTCACAGCTGTCATGGCTACAGTACATCGCCTTCAACGCCGGAGAGAATGACAAATGAATAAGTAGACCCAACTTGTATTATCTTGATACCTAACATTAAAATTGATCGAATTAGGTATCACCTGAACACGAGTTCAAATGGCCTATATTTATACCAATAATGCGAAAGTTTATTGAATATAAGCATTTCAAATGTTAATCGATGTTTCACTGGAAACACATGAAGCCATCTCTCATCTCACTTCTTTGCCATCAGCCCATCATGACTGCGGCCTGATGCATGTTCCTTCATCTGTTCCTAGATGGCAGCAGAAGTAAACGCCTGTAGTTAGACTGTTCCGCAGAGCCTGGATTTCCGCATCCCAACACGCACGCTAATGACGGATTATAATGACAAACGCATACCTATGTGTAACGTTCTCCCATTGTACAATGCATGTTTTAGGAGGAAATGTGAGGATAGGAAGGTATTTTTTTCAATAAAGTCAATGCTTTCCTTTGATTCTTTCTCCGAAGTCTTGTGTATCTTAGTAGATCGTGTAGTCCCTGCATCCATACTCTCCGCAATATGATTCTTTTCCCCTCAGTGAGGATAAAAGAATCGTATTGCGGAGAGCTCAGAACAATTAACGATCCTGATTGGACAGTCTTCTTTCGATTTTAACCTAAAAGGTGCGCATCAGTTCGCCAACTGCCGGAACTGGTCTGGCGTCTGCCTGCTATGCCGGACTCTCCGCGATCCGATCCGGTATGACAGACCCCGACCTCCGGAGTGTCTCCCGTGACACCGGAGTGACACACGCGTCAGTGACGTCACACGTCGGTCCGTCAGCTGAGCGCCGGTCAGCGCCGGGGTTCGATCGGGCCGCGCGCGCCGCTGTTTGCCCCAGTCGGTGACGTCACCGGCGGGCGGCGCAGCGTCCTTGGCAGCGCCCGAGTGGCGGCGGTCGCGGAAAAACAGCGCCGCGGGCGGTGTGGACGGTGGCCCGACCCCTGACCGGGATCGTAGGCGGCTCGCTGGTCTTTGTCGCAGCAGGGAGGGCCATCGGGTTGGGTCGGCTTACCAACGCGGTTCGTCAAACACGCCAACAAGTGGGTCAAACCTCCCAATCATGTCATCGATCCGCTTCATATCCGCATAGAGATGAAATACAGTGCCCCATAGTCTGACACATTTTTCCAATGTTAGACTAAATAAATGCGGTTTCAGTCGCCTGACATTGCCCAACACAATTTCCTACCGCGACTCGCGAGTTGTCAGGTCACGGCGAACAGTCAGGACAGGAAGTCTCCAGACAAAAAAAGTCCCCCGGTCGACTGAGTTGTTTTGTTTTGACCGGAGAAGTGACCTACAGCAGTAGACACTAAACAGTGAACACTAACAGTTCGTAGCGTGTAGCTGGACTCTCACAGAACAGAAAGACACAAAAGATGACAAAAGCAAAAAATTGCACACGATGTATAATACGCTTCTCTTGGCATGGCACTCGGCCGATCTTTTGTTTCAATGACCAATGGACGTAACTGATGAAGAGAGAAAACGAGCCACAATCTGTCTATTGGGCGTCACTGTAGTTCGCGATTACCCTGGTGAAACATCAGCAGAATGTGACAGTATTTCAATCTAGGGAAATATAGCTGGATCATAGAAGGTTTTCATATTTCTCATGAAAAATAGCTGTTCTCACTGAACTCAAAGCCGCTTGATATATGATCCCACTGGCGCCTCGTAATAAAACATAACGTGAAACGAAAAAGCCCACTGCGCAGCAATCGACCTCGGACATATTACCGGCCATTGGAACGCTAAGTTCTTCGTCTCTATAACTATGTATACTGAGTTCATAACTCAAGTTTCCTAGCACGTTCATCTCGTTCAAATCAGGGCTCACAATCTGTGGCAGTTAACAACAATCCCGCCAAGTTTACAGCCTGTGTCGCGATTAA